GAAGTAGTCAAAGGGCGAAATGCTCTTCCCCTCCCCCCCCTCCCCCGCTGTCGAACTGCGTCTGTCAGTTTGCGCGGGATGCCGTTGCTGCGGCTAACGATTCACCGAGGCCTTTCCTGGGGCTGTTCTTGTACGTTTTGAGTGCACATTGTTTATCACCTATTGTGGAATTGATTGGAGCTTCTAGAGAGAGCCATTTTATTTCTTTTCTTCCAATCGCTTGTATAAGGTGACCCCAAGAAAATCACTTCCTTACTCTTTTTTCATTGATTTTCTAACCTTTCCTCAGTCTATCATAACTTTGGTCCATTTAACTTACACGTTTTAGATCTACGCCATGAAGATTCTAAACAAATGGGAGATGCTCAAGCGGGCAGAAACGGCATGTTTTCGCGAGGAAAGGGATGTGCTTGTGTATGGCGATCGTCGTTGGATAACCAGCCTGCACTTTGCGTTTCAAGACGAGAAAAATCTAGTAAGAAACTTTGAATTTGTAATTTGATTTCCTTCAGTGACGAGAGAAAACCTAGTGGGAAGTTAGGGATTAGTGGGGGAAATACGGTTTATTTTTGTTTCTTTATGATATTGTTTAGTATTTCGTCATGGACTACTACGTTGGCGGAGATATGCTAACACTTTTGTCGAAATTCGAAGATCGCATTCCTGAGACCATGGCACGGTTTTACATTGCCGAAATGGTGCTAGCGATTGATTCCATACACAATTTGGGTTATGTCCACCGGTATGTTATCGTAGTCACGGTTTCGTTAGGATAACTGTTTGTTTTTCACGTAGCACTAATAAGTCCGAAGCTCGTCCTGATTGTAATTTCATTATCTTGAGCTGTTCCTTTCAGCGATGTAAAACCAGATAATGTTCTTCTTGACATCAATGGGCATATACGGCTGGCCGATTTTGGAAGCTGCCTACGGTTGCTACCTGATGGTGGGTTTTCCATTGGTAGACATTGATTTCTCGATGTAATAGTGTGCAGGACCTTAAATGTGTTTGAGTTTTATGCGCTATTCGGCTTGGGAGGGGCATTTTATACGTTAGTTCGCTTTTTTAGTTCATGGTTAGTAACCGGTTTCCCTTTGGTGAGACCTGTGCACTCCTGTAAAGCTGCGAAATGAGGCGTGTGAGCCATATGGTCACAGGAATTTACAGGTCTTCACAAAAGGCTTGTACAAGCTTAGCTGAGTACCAATCAGTGCCTCCAAGCCAAAGTGTCTTGGTATTATAGGGCTTGAACCATGTTTTTATCGCGATTCGACGCCACAATAGGCTCCCCTTGAAGTAAGCACCAATGAATCCCGAGATTTTAGGAACTGTCGCCTCCAATGTCGCAGTTGGAACACCAGATTATAT